CCTCCCCCCTCTCCACCTCTTCTCCACCCTCACTCCTGCCCCTTTAGATTCTCTCTCCGGCTCGTTACCCTATAGTGTTTACATGTATTTTTTTACATATCCAGTTATTCATGAAAGTGCTTAATTCATCCACCTGGAAACTGTTAAATGGTACAATTGAATGTGAATATTGCCTGAAGCCTTGTGTCTTTTGTCCTGATCAGTGTTGTCCTTATTTGTTTCTGTCTGCCACAACTCCCTTGTTTATACAAACAAATCTTTATTAACACTTCCTCGAGGTAAGCTGTTTGTTTCTTGGTTCCACTATTAATTTCTTCTCTCCCTACCTCCCACCATGGCCTTGTCTTCCACCTCCTTCCCCGCTCCCTCCACCTGGCTGCGCAGGCATTGACATGATGGGTAAGATGCTGAAAATGCAGATGTTGGAGGATGAGGACGACCTTGCCTACGATACGGAGATAAAGGAGCGCACTTCTTCCACATCTGATGCCCAGCCGGCCTGGATGAGGATCCTCCACACCACCGCCTGCAACTGGCTGCAGCTGGTGCCCCAATCTGTCAATCCACTGAAACGCACAGTGGAGAACATCAAGGTAAAGGCAGAAACAGGAGGAAGGTTGTTGGCAAGCAGACTTCTGGAGACGTACCTGTAATATTATGTTTTAAACAAGAAGCTGTACAACATCCTCTGCAATTACTGTTATGTAGATCCTTTGTTTTGTTTAAAATGTGTTATACTCATGAGGTATGGAGGTGAAATGAAACGAAAGCACAGGTTTGAATTTCAACAGATGAACATGCACTTGCTTTTCTTCTGTATTTGATTTGATTTCCTCTTTGCCCAAACACCAGGACCCACTGTTCCGCTTCTTTGAGCGTGAGGTGAAGATGGGCGGCAAGATGCTGCAGGAGGTCCGCCAGGATCTGACCGATGTGGTGCAAGTGTGTGAGGGCAAGAAGAAGCAGACTAACGACCTGCGCTCACTCATTAGCGAACTAGTTAAAGGTAAAATCTTCCTTCTCACTCATTTGTAACCATTTTTCTTTAAACTTGCTTTATGGAGATTAATGAACATGGCAATTTAACTTTTTTTAGGGCTACAGCTTTTATTTGTATTTGTTAGACTCCTATTGCAGCTCCACATTGTGCAATTAAAAATCATTGGTTGTTTTGACCAACAAGATGTCCTTAAACCGCTTGTACTTTGAGAGAATAACTGGTATACACCCTCTCTTCTTCTCCCCAGGCATCCTCCCTCGCAGCTGGTGTCGCTACACAGTTCCAGCCTCCATGACGGTGATCCAGTGGGTGGCAGACTTCAGTGAGCGAATCAAACAGCTGCAGCAGATCTCCCAGGGTGCTGCCAGTGGGGGTGCAAAGGAACTGAAGGTACTGTTTGGTTAACTGTTGGTGCACAGTATCAAACAACCTGTATATGAATGTCATGTTAGATTCCTTAAACATCGACAGAGCCACTTACAGTAATATTATTTTTGTTTTTTTCTCCTGTTTCTCCTTCTGCAGAACATCCATGTGTGCCTCGGCAGCCTGTTTGTGCCGGAGGCTTACATCACCGCTACACGGCAGTATGTGGCCCAAGCTAACAGCTGGTCTCTGGAGGAGCTGTGCCTGGAGGTCACTGTCACCACCGCCCAGGGTGCTGCCCTGGACGCCTGCAGCTTCGGCATCAAAGGTAAGACAAGCGGGGTCAAACTATTTATTTAGCAGCATGTACCCATAGTGTGAATGTAATCATTTGCATCTAGGTACAACATTTATTACATACAGATATTTTTTGACTGAAAAGTTTGATCAGTTACTAAGTATTTTACCATTATCCAGCTCTATATGGAGCCTTATTTCTGAGTGTGGCAAATACTTACTCAACTTTTGAAAATGTAGGTACTGTTCTATTATTTATTGGACATTTTTTAAATGTTGTTCAAATGTGGAACATTTCACTGTTTCTCTCAGGTCTGAAACTGCAGGGAGCTACTTGTGCCAACAACAAGCTGTCTCTGTCCACCACCATCTCCACTGAGCTGCCTCTCACTCAGCTCCACTGGATCAAGCAATACAGCGCTGAGAAGAGACACATGGTACGAACAAGATGTTTTTACACAATATATAGCTTCGTTTTTATCAAATAATCCATGCAGAGATACTATTTAGGAAAATATGTCTTACTGAAATGATTTTGGCCATCTCCTCATTTATTTGTATTTCTCTTGCAGGTGTGTCTTCCTGTGTACCTGAACTTCACAAGGTCTGATCTCATCTTCACCGTGGACTTTGACATCGCCACCAAAGAAGATCCACACAGCTTCTATGAGCGTGGAGTTGCTGTCCTGTGCACCGAGTAGATGGAACATTCCTCAAGACCAGCGTCTTGATTATTAAACCACACATAATCCCTTACATGTGTTGCTTATTAACCACCATTTAGAAAGTAGTTTGTAGCCTGTTGCATTCCAATATAAAACGTAGTTAAAATAAATTGTGGAGGTTTTGGAAGGTAAAGAGAGAAGTTGTCAGATGGTAAATGAAGAGGAGATGAAATGTTGAAAAGGAAAGTTGAAAGTTAGTTTTTATGAAGGAAACTGTATGTTTTTAGATTGAATAAAGTATGTTGGAATCAAATAAAATGCTTTAATGACTTCAATGTTGTCTGTGATGATAAATTGGACACAAATGGGGAAACGGATGACTTTAAAAGTCAACATGGGGGGAATTTCCCTTGTCGTTTATAAAATAGGCTTAGCAAAATGAAATGGTTGACAGCTTCACATAATTTACCCAATCGCTCCTATATTAACTTCATTAAAGTACAATACAACATTTTTGTATTTGTTAGACCTCATTATATCCTAGTCAATATCAGAAATTATACAGAAGGCCAAGCTAACCAGAGTATGATAAGGTAAAATATAAAGTTTTCAGTGGATTACTGCCACCTTTTATCTTCAGTAGACTCGACTACTGCAATGGTGTCTTCACCGGTCTCAATAAAAAATCTGCAAGTGATTCAGAACGCCGCTGCTAGACTCCTCACTAAACCTAAGAAAGTGTGTCACATCACTCCTGTTCTGAAGTCTTTACACTGGCTTCCTGTGTCAAAGAATAGATTTCAAAATACTGCTGCTGGTTTATAAAGCACTAAATGGTTTCGGCCCAAAATATAATTCTGACCTCCTGCTAAATGATGAACCATCCAGATCCCTCAGGTCTTCAGGGACTGGTCAGCTTTCTGTCCCCAGAGTCAGAACTAAACATGGTAAAGCAGCATTCAGTTATTATGCTCCAAATATCTGGAACAAACTCCCAGAAACCTGCAGGTCCGCTGCAACTCTTACTACTTTTAAATCCAGGCTGGAGACTTTTCTTTTTGTCGCTGCTTTTAATTGAACTATTCATATCTTAGACTGCACTGTAACTTTTGTCCATGTATTTTTTCTTTTAATGTTTATTTTATTAACTTTTCTTTTTAATGACTGATTTTAAATGCCATTTTCTTAATGTCTTTCATTTTTTGTAATGCACTTTGAATTGCCTTGTGTTGAAAAGTGCTATATAAATAAACTTGCCTTGCCTTACCTGTTGGTTTGGATGCACTTTCTTTCAAGATAAGATCCAATCTTCCTATTCCAATCCCAAAAAACTATTTTCCATCTTCTC